TGTGGTTCACGATGGCAACAACGGGTTCCTAGAATGATGTTTGCCCGTCTCCCCCCACTCCCGGCCAGGTGAGAAACGCCATCATGCCGAAGGTTTCTGCGTTGCATGTTGAAGTGGGTTCGACTAGATCATGGATGTTTCCTAGACAAAAGACCAAGAGAGCAACGAAATGTGGGCAAATGTCATGAGCGACAGCACACCGCCCCGCCGACAAGACACTAGTTGTCTTGTCGTCCCGTCCATTTGGGATGGCAGGTTGTCCATGGTGCATTCTCGGAAAAGGAACGCCAGAGGCGAGAGAGATCGACGAGGAGCCGTGTGCGCGGGCTAGAGGGCAGCGAGGGAGGACAGCCACGCGACTGGCGAGACACGACCCAAAACAAGGCCCAGCCAGAACAACGGCGCGGCAAGCTCACGGCTGTCTCGACGGCAGGGAAAGGCGGTCGACAGTCGACGCCAGAGACACACGCTCGCGTGCGGACGGTGTGGCAGATGCGGTGGGTCAGGGTTCAGGGGAGCAGGAGGACGACGTCTGGATCAGGCAGACAGGAAAGTAAAAGCACCGGCCCTGAGTAGAGTACTGTACCACATGTACTTACTGTATGTACCTACCTTGCGTGCCTTGGGTAAAAGGTAGGTGCCCAGAGAGCAGTCCTCACTAGCCAGGAACAGGGCCAATCAGTCCCCATTGATGTCTAACAGGGTTCTCGAATGGCGGCACCGGCCCGTGCGACGCCGCTCCCCGCAGAACGGTGACCTTGACCCAATCAGGTCAGCACATCACCGATACCTCGAGGCAGCGGGTGGACGCTGGGCAGGACCTAGGCTCGACCCCTCACTCTTTCCCTGCTTCCTGAATCCCGCCCACTCGTCACTGGTCCGGGCGGTCTGGACGTCTGGACCGACTGGAATGGACGGCCAGGTTGCTTCCTGCCTGATTTGACCTCACGTCACTCGAATCGACCCCTCAAACTGAAGGTGCACACGACACTGCACTTGCCCTTACGTCCACGTCAAGTCACTCTCAATACAATCGTCGCGTCGTCTGAGAATCCCCTCCCGCCCAGACGATTTCCCCAACACAGACTACTCCTCTGCCCGAGGCACGGATATCGGGATTGACAGAGCAAATCAATGCCAGTGGACTGTGCGCTGAATACCTGAATCGAAACCCTCTCGCTGCTCACCGCCACCTCCAGCCGTTCACACACTCGCTCTGTGTGTGCCTCTCTCTACGTCACTCGCTCGAACTCCCTATCTGCCACCGACCCAGGTATCTGCTCACCTAAATTCTAAGGCCAAGGTACACTGCGTCGCCTTTGCCTCGCCATCGTACCAGCGTCCCATCGTGAGACGCCTCCCGGGCCACCCGCCAACTGATTGCCGGTCAGCAGCAGCAGCAGCAGCAGTAGCAGTAGCAGCAGCATCTCATTTCCAGATACCCAGACAGGTCGACCTAGCTTTGCCTTGGCTGTCTTGGCCAGCCTTTGGGAACACCACACAGCACACTTACCACCACCACCATTGGC